ATGGTTTTGTCTTGCTTGTGAAACTATATAAGTTCACAACAAAATATTGTAATTGTGGCTTCTCGACCATTTATGTTTGTTTGATTCTTTTGGTTTTTTACATTCGATGTTTGATACTTGTATTGGAGCTTGATTGATTTGGATTCGTGCCGTGTATGGCCCATTCGAGGGAAAACGCTTTCTACCAATAATTTTTTTCACTCGAACTCAAGACATCTAATTTAGTGAGGAATAGCCCTCCACTGCACCACATCTTTTGATGGTACCAGATATGTTATTTACTCCCTCTAATGTTTATGGATAAGTTGTTCAATTTCAAATTTATGATCTCGCCCAATCCACCGCAAGTAGTTATTGTTTTATTGACAAATCTTACATTTTAATGTACAACTAGTCCTCATTTATAAGTTACATTAAATTAAAAATACACATCCATGACCAAATAGACGATGATAAATCACAATCTATTAAATAAGCTAAGGAAAATACAAATACACACATAAAAGTCTAAAATATAACGTCATAATGATATAATCATAAATTCTTGTCGAACGAAAAAGAAAAGAAAGAAAAAGGCTTAATACATAGCTAGTTTTTTTAAACACGTCTGGATATTTCATTTAGATATTTGAACTAAGTCACGTTTTAATTGAACACCTTAATTCATAATAAAACATTCTAATTAGACACCTTCGATTCAGATTTTAAAAACACCCTTGTGTTTGTTTTATTCATGTATTACATAATTAGGTTAGTCATATAAAATATGTCATCTCCTTAAACTATATGCATTAACCTCAAGTAGAAAATGTTTAAGGGTTTACGACTTATTGAGATAAATGTGTATATTTAAACGGAATGACATATGTTATCTGATTAATATAACTATCTAACAGACGAATAAGAATACATGCAAGAATTATTTTTTCAAAATTTCAACAAAAGTACCTTATTGAAACTCTTTATTAAGAGTTGGAGGTGTTCATTTAAAATATGACTATTTTAAATGTCTAAATAGAATACACGGACACGTTTATGGACTGATTTTGTATTAAGCTCACCCCACCCCACCCCACCCCAACCATGAAAAGGAAGAAAGAAAGGGAAGTACTTTCTTTGAAGGTTACACTGCCCTAAGAAAGAGGTCTCTCTTTAGTGTCTACCTAACATTCAATTGGTTGCAATTTGCAAATGCAAATAGGGGGTGCATCTCTAAATCAAGAAATGCCCACAAAATAGAAATACAAACACATTTTTAGCAATTTGTTTTTATAAAGAGTTCCATGTGCTATTCTCATCAATCTTTGCAACCATGACATCCAATATACTTTTGATGAACTATATTTTAGGGACTCCAAGTGTTATTGTGCATTCAATTTGTGGGGAAGCATAAGATCTTTTCTACACTAATTATTAGGCACTATCCTATATGCCCTTTGACCAAGGTAGGTTTTAGTCAATTTTATCTACTATATAATAGATATCCAGAATCTATTGATCTTATTAATTTAGATTTACACTGTGTAAAACATATTAAAGAAAGAATTGTTTCCATTTTAAATAGACGTTTCACGTTCATCTTACAATACTCCTTGATTATTTATTTGTCCTCCCACTTCATGGAAAGAGCCAAAGATCATAATTATTGACAAACAATTGTAACCTTCATAATTTACCTTAAGCATAAAATTAGGTGTCTTGAACAGGACAAAAATCATGTCTAATTTGTCAAGTTAGTTAAGATTTTCAGTTGGGCACTTGTGATTTGAAACTTTTTAAGGTAAAGTTGGGGTAAGTTTGTGAATCAAAAGTGCTTTATTAGTCAATTCCACAATAATGTCCAATTTTTCTTCTCTCTAAGATAGTGATATTTGTGGGTTTTATGTTATAAAAAAGTTTGAAAAGACACAAAGTTCATACTTTAACATAAAGTTATACTTTCTCCATCTCATTTTAGATGATAGTGTTTAAAAGAAAGAAAGATTTTTAACATTTGTGATCTAATTAAAATAATGTTTAGATATTTGTGTGGTAGTAAATCATTTTGTGAAGGATAAAAAGAAAATTTTAAATTTAAATTATTTCTAATTATAGTAAGCAGACATTCTATTTGGAACGAGTTAAATTAAAAAATATGTCGTATAAAATGAGACTGAGGAAGTATATGCGAACAATTAAAAAAGTTACTCAACTTTTGTAGTAAAAAAGTTGCTAAGTTTTTATTTATTTATTATTTTTGTAATAAAAAAACAAACTTTACCCAAGTATCACAGAAGAAAACAATGAAAATCGGAACACGCTATATCATTTAAATTTTATTGGATATATAAAATGATTTGAATTCTATTAAATTCAAATATATTATCCAATAAATTATAGACTATAATTTAATTATATAAGTTTCAATAAATATAAATTTAATTAAAGAATATTGATTGACATGCGATAAAATTGACATGTTTTAAGCCTAATATTTTATTTAACAAATAAAGCCTTAAAAATATGACGTTGAGATCATCTCCAATCCACCTCTATTTTACTCTTCATTCTCTATATTTTAAGAGTAAAATAGAGAATGGACAGTCCAACCCACCTCCATATCACTCTCTATTCTTCATATTTAGAGAGGTGAATAGTAGTTCTCCACTCTCTATTTCACTTTGAATATTTTATTATTATTTTTATTACTTTCTAATTAACATATTATTTTACATATAATATCATTAATTAAATATCTAATATTCATAATTCTTTTTAAATGTAATATAATATTTTTTAAAAATATATTATTTAATATATACTACTTCATCCCGAATTAATAGTATTTTAACTTTTTCTAAATTTCGTCAATAATATAATTTGATTTTATTATTAATTTTCACTATAAAGAATACACAAAATTAAAATGATAAGATGAAAAATTGTTCAAACTATTTGTGATCCACATTTCCAAAAGAAGAAATATTTTGCGATGAAACAAGAATCGTGCCGAAAAGATGTTGAACGTGCATTCGGAGTTTTACAATTATTGCATGATCATCACGTTTTTGGAGAAAGGAAGTGCTATATAATGACTAAATGTATTATACTGCACAACATGATAATTGTGGATGAAAGTGATCTTAATGCACCAATTCAAAATATCGTAGAGGCTCCAACTCCAACGACAGAAATTGTGATAAATGAAAATCTCCGGTTTGAACAATTTTTAGCTAGACAAAAAATTAAGGACAAAAATGCTCATTTTGAACTCCGTAATGCATTAATAGAGCATTTATGGAAGCAACGTAATAATTTCAAAAATTGAGTGTTTATGTAATTGTATTTCACTTTTATTTGAATTTAATTTGTCCATTAATTTGTATATTATATATTATTTTCTTGCAATTTATGTTATTTAAAAATTTAGATTAAATTTTAATTTGAAAAAATAAAATTTTATATCACATGAAATTATATAAAGTAATTATTAGGAAAAAGAAATAAAGGATTTATATTATGAAATAAGAAAATAAGAATGAAATAAAAATAATAATATAATATTGAAGAGAAAGAAAAAAGATTCTTTTTTAGAAAGTAAAATATGAAATTGGGTTGGAGTTAATTGTCTGAACAAACAGAGAACTCTATAGTTAAAAAGTGAAATAGAGTGTAGGGTTGAAGATGCCCTCACGAAACATTTCCTTAAAAATCTCTAATACAGTTCCATTGATTAATATGAATATATGATAATGAATATACATAATGATACATAATGATACCTTCATATTTTTCATACATATTTTTTTTTAATGACATCTCAATTAATTCTATCGGATATATGTTATATCTAACTAATAAGAGTAGGACAAATAAATTGAAGCGGAAAAATAATAATATTTTTTTTAGAGTAAATTTTTTGTAGTAAAGCTCAGATTCCAAGATGTGTGGCATGGTTCAATTTTTTTTGAATTTCAGTTACAGTGCGTCAGATAATCACGGCATTTCTTGTTTGGTCTGAAAAGTTCTAATCAAACAATGTTTCACTCGTCACAAAATCATGTGATCTTTTTCACCATTTAATTTGGACAATATTTTTTTGAAACAAAAAAAGTTTGTTTAAAGTTCCAAGAATATATCAACTTGTACAAATTTATTCTGCCTAACAAAATGATATTCTTTTCAATCATAATTATTAGGAAATGCTTACTTTAAACCTCGAAAACACTTTTAAATCCAATGCAAATTACTAGTGTTATTATTAAACTATTAATAGCCTCAAAAAGACTTATGATCTTGTAATATAAGTGAAATATATATTCCTAAATTCTTATTAAATTTAGAGATGTTATCAACACTTTTCTCTACTTTTTATTAAGAGACTTATGTTTCTATAAGAATTTAAAACCACTTACTATATCATATTACAGATCAGGGATATATCTAAATTTAATTAATCAAGTATAACTATATTTTTAAAATTATCAATAATTTAAAGACGAAATTGATAATATACGCTAAATTTTATTGTGTTTTCAATACTTGTTACTTTGAACTTGTTTTGGATTAACTTTTTTGGAACCAACAATTGAAGATATACACAACAATATCAGAAGTAGACGTACAAAGACAATTCGTTTATAAAACGGTGACTACTATTCTTTTTATTTATTTATTATTAATCTTATTTTCTTTTTATTTTTATTAAACTTTGAAAGTTGGTATCGGTTGCCATTTGAAATAACATTCTTTATAATAGTAACATTTTATCATATAACAATCACTTCCTTTTTGGAACTGATTTTCGTGTTATATTTATTATACGTTAACTATATATCACTACATAGCAGCTAGAAAATATCCGAACAAACAATATGTTAACGACATTTAGCTAAAACAATATCTAGACAAACAACCGTTATAGAAATGTTCAACTATATTCCCACTTTATTTTAATGATACTAATATTTGTGTTTCAACTTTTAATATTCTGATAATAAATCTGAAATTCAAAAAGAAAATTGTTTGAAAAAGACTCTTGATTTCTTAAAAGAACTTTCACAATAAACAAGGAGAATACTAATGATGTCTAAGTTATTACAAGTACACACTTGAGATAATGAGGATTACTCCTTCCAATTAGGAAAAAAAAAATAACACAAAGTTTGGTTACATATTTTTTTTTTTGATTGAATATTCTAATTAAATTCATCATACTTTTGCATCACCACTTTGGGTGTTAGGTATTTCCTTCTCATATGGCTTCTCTAATTCCATCTCTACTCTTCCATCTTCCTCACCTTTCTTGATTTGTCCTTTGTTTTCCCTATAAATGGCATACAATATCAATTGTGCTGTTCCTAGAAAACTTCCAACTCCATTTGGTACCTAACAAGATTTAACATCGAGTTTATCTGAATCTAATACTAATTAAGCTCAATACTAAAATCCCTGAGAATTGAACTCATAGAACTTATAAAATCCTGAACCCGTCTCTATTAAATGGTATACATTAAAGTGAAAATACATATTTTCCAATAAAATGTTATATATACACACAACATATATAGATATTGAGTGTATATATGGGATACGAGTTTAAAAAAAAGTCAATTTTACCCCTCATGACCATATGATAAAAGTTGAAAGAAATGTAAGATTATAGTGTGCTTACTGCAATGAAAGGGTCTTTTCCAAGCAATCCATAGACAAACCATGAGGTGCCACAAAGAAAAACAAACAAGGACAAGAAGAAAGGCATGTACTCCACACTTTTAGTCTTGATCACTAGCCTCTGCCAAAATAGGAAATCATGAATAACAACAAATTACATGAAATATACTTGACAAGTTATTTAACCAAACAACAAGATAAGCATTGTCAACAAAAGTAGCTTGAAATGATTTATAGGACAATGAGTAGTCTATTCAATGAAAAAGCAAAGTTATTTAAGATAAATTATTGTTTTTTATTTTCTCCATAGGATTCGATAGCTGAAACGTACTAGACCGACTAATCATATTTGTATCGAGTCCAATCAAAAGGATAAAGCGGTCCATATCAAAGAGGTTTTTTACGAACTCAATATCTAAGTTAAAAGCAACAAAAAATCAAAATTTAGGGTAATAATTTACTAATGGTCACATTTAAATTCACTAGTAAAACTTTCGAATATTGACTTGAATTTACTAATGGTCACATTTAAATTCACTACTACAACTCTTACCCTGTTCTATCGACACACAATATCGCTACACGTTAGTTATTTGATATCTGAAACCTACTAGTCCGACTAATTAGCTACACTCATTAAGGGAATAAACGCTTCGTATCAAGAGAGGTAAGATTTAAAGATACATACCATAATTGACAAAGGAGAACCATACATAATGATGGAGAAAATAGCAGCAGCAAAGCCACTAAAGACCTTTCTTTTATTGCCATGGAGAGCTAACATTGAGACCAATGCAACAGTTGAGAAGATAGAAAGGACAACACATAGAATTCCAGAGATTTTTGCTTTTTCCTTCTTTGGTGCAAATATGAGGAAAACTAACACATAGAATGCCTCAAGTCCTGCTCCTGTGCCATTGATAATTGATACCAACATGTTGTTTGGTGACACAAATGGCAGACCATACCTATTACAAAAATCCATCAAAATTTTTATCAATTACATACTCATTCTGTCGTCAATTGGTTTGTCTTACTTTCCTTTTCAATCTATTTCAAAAAAAAAATTGGTTCTTATCCTTTTTGGACAATTCTTTAATTTTAACCTTTTCATACATGCATTCATTATACATATCTTTTGAATATGTACTTTGACACTTGAAAGGTGAAACATATTTTATTTATCTTCTTAACCCAGGGGAGAGCTAGACACAAAGGTAAGAATTCGGCTGAACTCGATAACTTTGATCCAAATATATTGTATTTACCACAAACTAAATAACTTAAAAAGTTTTTTTTTTCAAAAGAGTATGGATGGAGGTCACTTAAAAGTTGTAATGAGCTTTTTAAACCTAAGCTCTTTACAAATTTAACACCCACACCTTGTATAGAATTCTGCTTTTTTGACTATTCAACAGGGGAAATTTGTTTCAATAAAAGGGGGAGCAAGTTAAAAGATTTGACTACAAGGTCAAAATAAGTCAAATTTTCTTAAAAGAAAGGAACATATATATATATATATATATATATTTGTTTGCTTAATTGAAGAAAATAATCTTACCAAGTAGAGAGCAAGCAATTGAGAAGTGTCATTACATATGGTATGCCTGAGAATTGCTCTGTTGACTTATGCATAATAACCCTCTTGAATGTTATCCTATACAATCAAAATGAAAAAGAAAGTTAGTACTACTTGTATGCACCTCGATTATTTCACGATACTTATTACCAGGACAAAATCAGATAACTCTGTCCACAAAGTAATATTTCATTTTAAATATTGAAAGAAAATTACAAGGAGGCTTACATTGGAGCTAAGAAGAGAAACAAGCCAGTAATATTGCCTATTCCAAGAAACAAATAAGAACAAGTCATGAAAAAAGAAACCATAATATAAATCCAAGAAAAGTAAAGTGAAAAATAGAAATGAGAACTCATACCAAAAATCCCAAACAAAGTGTGGAGAATTTTGATGATTGCCATAGCTAGAAGTTTTTAATTTTCTATTCAAGAAAGATATTGTGTTGAGAAGGGAAACGGTAGTGTATATGTAGAAAAAATATGTTAGGATTATAGGGAAGAGATATATTTGTGTTTTTTTATTATTATTATTATGTATAAATAGAGCCAAAAACAAACAGGTTGGCAAAAAGAAACAATCTTTTTGCTTTCGTATTTTTCCAGCATGTTAGTATACGTGTTGTATTGGTAGTAGTACCTAGCTAGTATGAGATGAGGTCCTTATCCTTCTCTTTTTTTTTTTTAGTGATGTCTCCTCAACCTAACCCTTAAACCGAACGATGTTAGATGGACTAAGAATATTTTTTACTATGATTGATGTCTTTTTAATCTAATCCTTCAACCGAATGGTGCTAGACGGATTAAAGATATTCCTTTTGGTGATGTCTCTTCAACCTAACCTTCCAATTGAATGACGCTAGACGGACTAAAGATAACCCTTTTGGTAATGTTTCATTAACCAAACCCCCAAACCAAATGACACTAGACGGATTAAAAATATCCCTTTGGGTGATGTTTCTTCAACCTAACCTCCTAATTCATGAATGACGCTAGAAAGACTAAGGATATCTCTTTTGGTGATGTCTCTTCAACCTAACCCCAATCGAATGACAGACTAAGGATAGGTGAGAAAAAAAGAAGATAGAAAAGTTTTACTTCTAATTGATCTCATCTATGAATTTTGGTTTTTTTCATCTTCACGAAAACTCTTTATCTATTTTTTGTCTAAATTAAACACACACAAATGGAATATGTGATTATCATCGAGGTTAGAGTGAAATGTATATAATAATCATAAATTTAAAAAAAATAAAGTTCAAGTTCTGAAATACAAAAAGAAATTTAGTATTTAAGGATAATATTTTTCTTCAATAAATTTTTCACCATACTAATTCAAATTATTTAAACTTTAACACAGACACCAAATATCTGAAGAGAAATACACACGAATATGATTGAAGACAAGTAGATTTCGATGTGCTAAAATTTCACACCTAAGAATCCAATTCATGACTAAAAAAATGAAATTGAATCCCTTTCGCAATTACCCTAATAGAATTTAACAGTCAATATACAAACATTATTTAAAAGAATTTCACCACGCGCAAATGTAATTTTCGATTGAAGGAATTTAATTGATTACTTTTGAGCCAATTGTCGGTATATGATATAACGGTATTCGGGTCAACTTTGGCAATCGTTGATACGAAATCGCCTAAGGAGCGATTTACTTACTCCTAATGCAGAATTTCTCTACGATACTCAAATCAATTTTGATTTCATTAGTATTCAACGCAAGTTTAAATTTAATTTGACTGATCATATATTACTATAGAAATATATAAAAAGAAAAATTACTTAAACAGGTATAAGTATTTGATTCCGATTTAATAGAGACATTTTGGCAATATATACATTTTTAATTACGTACGCAAATGAACTATCCAAGAATAATTAGTAAGATGTCATTTCACAATTATTGTACCATGTGCTCGTAGGATAAAAATAACATAATTATGGAATTTTTTAAAACAGAAAAATCACAGAATTTTCACTATTAACACAAATCATTATTGCCGGAAAATCAATAGTGATAGATTCTTTTTTAAAACCTTTTTTTTATTTTAAATTTAATAAATACAATTTAACAACATGACCCAAACCAAAACCATATGTAAAAAATTAATTTTGTGATTTTTTTTTTCAATTTATTGACCTTTTTACTATATCTGGCTCATATTACTTGATTTGTTAACTTTTTTATTTTGATTCAAAATAAGTAATGTTTTACATAATTACGGAGGTAAAATTTTATTTTTCCAAAATTTATGGTTATTACTTTCATTTATATTTATTAAGATAAGGTAGTTGGTGTGCCCCAGTGACTATTTTATTCAATATATGTAAAAGGTCTGTACTCTGTATATATATAAAAAAAAAAAAACAGAAATAGAGCAAAAATAAAATAAACAAAAAGATGAAAAAGCTCTTATTTTCCAAACTTAAATAATGTAGGTGAAATTCTCATATATCTCAACTCTCTTATTTTCCCAAATTTACGCTTATTATTTCTTCGATAGTGTGAGTGTAATTATCATATTTCTTAAGGGGTGAGCCTAATTCAAAAAAATATCAAATAATATAGACAACAAAGAGTAGTATTTATTTTACATATGAGTTTAATCCTAAAAATCCCCCGCCCCCCCCTAGGTCCACTTGTTAAAAAGATAATAAGTTCATGTCAGGTCAAATCTGTTTAATTAAATTTGTATTTATTTAATTGAATAAATTTACCCTTCGATTTTGAAAGTTGGATTTATCAACAATAGTTATTTTTGTGTTATAGGGTGAAAAATGGTGGTTTTTAGAAAATGCACTTTTATGAGAAGAAGCCATATAATTGGGTGGCCTTATGTGAAACAAATATTCAAATATATATATATATATATATATATAGAACTATAATTAATTACCATATATCTATTTATTCTTTTCCCAACACGACAAGCTGCCAGGTTGGAAATATTCATATTGTTTTTGAAGAATCATGGAAAGGTTTAATATGAAAGAGAGAATTAACGGTCATTTTGGTGGCGGAGAATGAGAGGATATATAGTATATCAAATCAAACACTATGGAGGCGAGATGGGCTGGGGAGTGCAGGTTCCCATTATTTTTTGGGGAAAAGACATGAGTTTACCACTGAACTTATCTCGAAAAATCAGTTACACGTTTAAATTATCATGGCGATCCATTACATACTTATTTTTATTAAAAGTGTAACTAATATCACCTTCTAACGTACAAAACCAGTCACACATACTAGAGTTGTGTGCACGCGCCTGCCAAATCCTATGCAAGCATACACGTGTAATTTTTTAATTTTTTTCACTTTTTTTCCTAACCAATTTTGCCTCTATCTTCTCTCTTCATTTTTCACTTTTTTTCCAATCATTTTACCTCTATCTTCTCTCTTCTTCCTTACCTGAATGACACCATTTTTGTCTTTATTTTTTCTCTTCTTTCTTACCTGAATGACTCCATTTTCAATCCTTTCTTCTGATTATAAAACATACCAAACAAATTATTGCGACAAATAGGATCGACGAAGTAGAAGAGATAGTTAGAAAATTCGTGAGGGAATGGGGGACATGGATAGCAAATTAAATCAAAGTTATTATTCAATACGATTTCATCCCACTTGTCATCATCATTGACATTAATTTTGAACCCAAAACTTATATTTCTTAGCTTCTTAACCCTATCTAAACACCTTCCTTTCATTTGGATTTTTCAAATATGGGTCAAATGAACTTTAATTGGTAATGGTTTATTTTGAATTTTCTTTTTAGTTAGTAGTGTTTTGATGGTAATGGGTTGTGAAACTTGAAATAAATATTTTAGTTTGATATTGATCAATTTTATATTGTTGAGCCAATTTTGATTTTGCTATGTATAAATCATCATTGAACCCAAACCCTCGTTCTATCAAATTTTCAATGCCGTGTAAACTTGATAATCTTGATAAGTGGGGGTGGGGAGCAATTAACTTTTCTTGGTAATAAATGTTTAGGAATTAAGGGTTTGACTCTTTAATGTTCTTTTGATGCTAATGGGTTGTGTAAAATTCAGATTAGAAAATTATTATTTTTAGTGAATCACTTTGCTGAATTAAGTATGAGTCAAATTAGTGGAGAATTCTGAAGTAATGATAAAATTGAGTGAGAAATTGTAGAGTTTTGATAAGAAAAAAAATAAAGAAGAAGTCTAAAGGAGAATGAGAGAAGATGAGCATGAAATAGAGGGGGGTGGGGATAAAAAAAAAGTGACTTTATTTTTTACTCAAACGCGCCTAATTATTTACTTTTTTATTTAATTTCATTTTCACGTCAGTTCTGGAGTGGTATTAGTTACACTTTTATCAAGAATAAGTGTGTAATAAGTCGTCATGATAGTTTAAGCGTGTAACTGACTTTTTGGAACAAGTTAAAGGGTGAATTTATGACTTTTCCCTTATTTTTTGTGGAAAACATTTTCCTTCTTATCAAACACACCCTTAAACTTTTTGACCATTTGTCCTGACCTTGATAAGTGAGTAAGGCTAATTTTAATAACTTAATTGCTTGGCTATTCTGTTAGAGTAATTGATAAAACCAAAAATTATTTTAAAAATTCCTTCCTTTAAAAGCTGTTATTTCCCACTGAATGTATGTCAATGAGATGAATAACCAAACATGACATGTATGAGGTCCCCCACCCCATCTTGTGTGATGGTATTTGATCAGTTAGTCATTAAATTTGAGAGTTCGATCTGTTGGAATTTGAAGGCAGTAAATTAATGCATTTTGGAATTTAGCTATTTTAACCCCATACACACGAATCTAAAAGATAAAAACAAAATACTGTATTAGGGGAAAATTCTAGACGGCGATAGGTGGATGAATCAAAAGATGACTTTAGAGAGGTCGGTAGGAAACAACTTCATTTGTGGGGAGTTCGGCATGCTAGCTACCATCATTTTGACAAGGGCATATATAGTTTTGGAGAAGTGAAAAGAGTAAATTTTAAATTTAATAAACATAAAAATCATATTAATACTCTATAGCTACAGTAGCTTAAACGATACATATAGTATCCAACTATTTGACATCAATTGGGCCCATCTACTCTATATTGCTTCAAACTTTACATCAACCAGGCCCATATACTATGTGAAAACTCAAATACTTGCTACTATCATACCAAAATTTTGACAAGCTAGAGAATTATTAAGGATAGTAACAATATTGTTTCGTCTTTTGACAAGCTAGAGATTTATTAAGGATAGTAACAATGTTGTTTCGTCTTCTTGATCATCAAGACGAAAAATATATGCTCGACATGGTTGAAATTACAGATAAAAAAGAAAGTAATCTGAAATTGCAAAAATTGATTGGATGATCTATGACTGATTAAGGGATATTCCTATTATTTATACATCATTAATTGACTCAAATATTTCATCCTCTTAATTGCAATTACAACAAACACCTAGCAAAATAACTGCATCAATGAATCTAAACACTGAAAATAACTGCATACACATTTTTTTTAATGGTGGCAAAGTAGGAAATATATTTAAATCGCGAAATAATATATTTCGACTTCTTCCTTCATTCCTTTTGATACGGATCAAATCAATTTCGAATATCCTTCACCCTTTCTTATACACTATAGACTATAGTGCATAAGTTTCCATATTTTTCTGTATCTCAATTTGGGGTTTTTCATGCCCTGTTTCGATTGAGCCCTCCGTTTCAACGTCTAATTTCTTTTTGCTATCGCGATAAATTGCATACAAAATCAGTTGCACACATGCTAATAGAGATCCGACTGAATTTGGTACCTACCAAAACAATATTAAATTTGTGAAATTTAGTCTCCATGACTTAATAAGGTACCATAAATCTAGTGATTATCGATCTATTTCTTAAAATAAAAGAGTGTTACGTAAACTGAAACAGAAATTTAGTTATGATTAATGTTTAAAATAAAATATACTCACAATAATGAAAGGGTCTTTCCCAAGCAAGCCATAAATTGCCCATGAGGTACTAGAGTTGAAAATAGATAGTGACAAGAAGAAGGGCATGTACTCCACACTTTTAGATTTTATCACCTGCCTCTGTATACAAAAATCAGAGCCAAATAAAATAAATAAGTTATATATACATAATAAATGAGCTTTCTATAATAATTATTAACCATATAATTATAACCAATCTTTTGTAATTAATTGAGCTATAGTGATTGTGTAAAAGATTAGGCCGTTTAGGTTAGCTGATTGTAAATAGTTGATAAGTTGAAGTGTTGACAAACATTTTTAAGTGCTGAAAATAATTTTATAAATAAACAGTTATGTATTTGGATAAAATGTGTCGAAACTAAAAATAAGAAATTAATGTGTTTGAAAAAAGTTCTGATAAGTTGTTTTTTGTTAAAATGACTAAAATATCCTTAAATTATTAGTCAAAAAATACAAATTTAAAAGTATCTTTCTAAAAAAAAGAAAAAAAGTGGGAGGAAGGGTGAATTTAAACCTCACCTTGTTGCTTAGGATTTGATTCCCTAAAGGAAAGTTTGGGATTTTATTTGGGAATAATATCTTGAGAAATTAAAAAATATAAATAATAAAATAGTAAAGAAAAAAATTGGTCAAACTAAAAATACTTATAAACCAACTTATGATTGAGTGAATATTCACATAGATAAGTCAAAAATAAAATACTTATAAGTCAATTTGATCAGCTTATAATCTTAGTCAATCGCTCAGTTAATATTTATTGTAAATAAAATTGAAAAGAGACTTACCATTACTGTTAGAGGAGCACCAAACATCATAATACAAGTAATAGCAAAAGCTAAGCCACAAAGAAGCTTCCTTTTATCTCCATGAAGTTTTAACACAGAGACTAAAGCCACAATTGAGAAGATTGAAAGGACCAAAAAGAGAATTCCAGATATCTTAAACTTCTCTTTTTTGGGTGCAAATATGAGGAAAATCAACACATAAATTGCCTCCAAGGCACCACCTATGGAAGCCAACACTGTTAATAATGTGTTGTTTGGTGACACAAAAGGTAGACCATACCTGTTTAATTCATCAAAAGTATAGTTAATCATAAGTTAAACTCAATATTTGTTTAAAAGAACAAAAGGTGAAAATCAATGAACTTGTCATGACACGATTTTCCAGATCATGATGACACCTACTATAACCCAACAGTATATAAGTCAACTCGTAACGGGTGCAAGGGTAGTATAACAACCAAATTGTTCCTCTTTTGCATTTGGTTGTTATTCTCTACCCTTGCACCCGTTACTTGTTAATTTGGGTTATCGGTTGACTTACCTACTGGTGGGTTATAGTAGGTGTCATCATGACCGGAGAAAGGATCATGACAAGTTGATATACCACGTACAAAAAAATAATTTTTTTAAATCTACAAAAGTACCCATACACTACAACAAAAACAACTTCTAGCAAAAAGAAATATGACATTAATAAAGAGTATTACCGCCTTTACCAGAATTAATTAATTGTCATTAGATCCAATGCCGCTATAGGCTTTAGCGGTATTTACAAAGAGTGCCAAAATATAATTGTCACTAGTAATTGTCTCTAAAAAAAATATATTTAGCATCAATCAAGCTATTATCATTAATTAATTATCGCTAAAGATTATTTTTGGTATAGTGTTAGAACCCGGCAGATAACTTGAGAAGGCTAAAATCTAAAATTCATAAACTTTAAATTCTGACTCTGCCACTGACAGTTATTTTATTGTTTTGATGTTGAAATGTGATTTGGAGAAGCTTACCAAGCTGAAAACAAGCAGTTGAAGAGACTCATTAGATATGGCACCCCTGAGAACTTCTCTGTTGATCTCTTCATAATAATCCTTTTGAATGTAATCCTAAAAGTCAATTTTTGATTAATTGTGATATATATATAAGTAGTTAGTTTTAATTAGAGAAAGAATGAAAGAAAAGAGCAAATGCACATGCATACACTTATCAAAACAAAAATTAAACTTGTAGAAGACTTACATGGGCGCCAAGAAGAGTAATATGCCAAAAACATTTCCTATTAAAAAAAAAAAAGCAAATGAAGAAAAAAAAGATTTAGCATATGAAACTGAAATAAAAAGAAACTGAAACATATATATGGTTATTCAACTAATAGTTATTATTATCTCGGAAAGTTATTTTCTTTGTTGAAAGAAACTGAAATAAAAAGAAAAGATAATTTTCTGAGATAATAACTATTAATCGACTGAGTATACGAGAAACCAATCCAAGACTAAACACATGAAACTTGGAGAATGAAATAAAAATCCTACCAAAAATTCCAAAGGTGGTGTGGAGAATTCTGATAACATGTACATGACCCATGGCAAATAATTATATATTTATTGTAGGGGAATTGAAATAAACTAGCAAAATGGTGCATAGGCAGAATAAACATGACTAGTTTCTAGGGTATTTATTTACATAATTTTGTTGATTTGCTGATGAATGATCCACTACATTTTGCTTGCTTGTTCAGCACTTGAATATTCAGTGTGGTTAAGGCCCTACAAATTAATTAATTCCACTAATTACTTACTTAAATAAACATCTCATATAAACTATGCTCCTATTTGGATAATTATTCACAATACATACCTTGATATATATTCACAATATTCAAAAATCTTTTTACTTTTTTTAAAAAAATTGTGTCAAATTAAAATCAGACAAACAAATTAAAACGGAGGAGAAAGTATTTAATTTGTCCTCTAAGATGTCTTAGATGTATTCTTACACTGACATACAAGTCTCAATAGATTCGTGGCAAGTAATACTTGATCTAGTATAATTAGTGTAACAACCATAAAAAAAAAATCTCAGTTAATTAGTATTGTCTCATCTATGTAAACCGTTTGTTTCTATTTTAATTTGTTGTACTCTTGAATAATTAAATCTGCATTAGTTCAAATAGATTGTTGTACGTTAAAATTTAATTTCCGCCTTTTTCTCTTTTAATAACATCGAATATCAAAAATAATAATATATACCAACAAGGGTTGTGATAGAGTGGAAAATACTCTTTCATTCTTAATCAGAGGTCTCAGATTTGAATCCCCTTGGTACAGAGTTGCCTTTACTAGGGAGAGTTTTACCTCTGAGACTTTAATTTCCGACGCGAATTTGAATTTAATCGTACTTCAAGGATATCAGACACCGAAGGAAAAACAGAAGAGAAAAAAATAGCAATTTTATATATATGGTTATGTTTATGATTAATTCGAATATTGTTCATGAATCTAGTAATGTTAACGTGTATACATATCATAATAATTATCACATTTCTATGATATTCATATTGAATATTGTTGACCACTATAATAAAAAATAACTTTTAGCACAATAGACTTTAACGGTATTTACAAAGATTGTTAAAATATAATTGTCACAATGTCACTACTAGTTGCTTCTAAAAAACAGATTTAGCTGCAATTAATCTATTATCATTAATTAATTACCGATAAAAATCATTTTTAATGTAGTTAAATGTCCTCTTGCATATCACTCCTATAGTTGTTGTTGTTTTGGTTAATTATTTGAGCAAATTCCATTTTGATTATATTTTGTAATGTATCTTCTCTTACTTGTTTGCCTTTAGGCATCATAATCTCATTTAATTAACATAATCTCATTCTATTAGTTCCACTTACGTAGGTTAGTGTTTATCTTACGCCGTCAATTGACTAGATTATTTAAGGAAATTAAACGTAATGGGTAATTAACATTGATACGCAATGGAATCAGCTAATTAATTGTAATCTTTTAAAATATATAATATGATTTATGACATGGAATCTCACTAACACATTATGATATATTTAAGCTAGAAAAAATATGGAACAAACAAAAAAGAAAGTGCTATCCTTGTAGGAAACAATGACAATTTTAATAGTGAGTAAAGAATATTCTACTAAAGGTATATTTTCCCGCCAATAAGAGATTTTGCAACAAAAACACTATACATCTATAATATAACTAATATGGACGAGATAGAATAATAAGTACTCATTCATCCTTAATCAAAAGTCTCGGTTCAAGTCTTGTATATGAAGTGACATTTGTTTAAAAGCGATTTACCCTGAATATAGGACTTTTTCATGAAAATCTAAATTTAATCGAGCTTTAATACGAATATTAATTAAACATCATCGGAAGGAAAAACAAAAAATAAAACCCTCTTTGCATATATTTTCGCATTTTTTTTGGTACATTTGTTGAGTCAAACCAACTCAGCTAGCTACCCCATTGTCTTCTAAACATGTATTTAATTATTAAAAAGTGACCATTTACTCAAAAAAAAAAAAAAGGAAATGAAGTAGCCACTATAGGAAGTTAGGAACCATATTTGACAAAATATTAACACAATTTAAAGCAAATAAAAATCAAAATGAGCTTTGATTTTTTGTACAATTGGCTACATTTTAATTATTAGCAATATATATCAAAAGATTTTTCTCCAATATATTGCATTTTCTTTTTCTTTTAAGAGGGGTTGTTGGGAGACGATATATAATTTTAAATTTGAGCTTATTTGAACTAATTTTTATTATTGAATCGTGTATTTAATTATTAAAATTCGAAGAAGAAAATATGCAACTGAACTTCATAATAAAACACCTATACAAAGCCAAATATATGCTTTGATGTGGGACGAATAATATGTCTGAACCTACCAAATCCCATACCACAAATTGTATGTCGTTTAAAAAAGAGCAGCTCGAAACGCAGGTCTTATTTTGTATTTTTGCAAAATACTATTTTTAAAACTTGAACCCATAACATCCTAATCACATGACAATAATTTTACCGGTTACTCCGAACCTCAACAAATTGTATGTCGTTCTATCCGAACAAAATGGGAAAGGAGTGACGTTATGTGTATAATCATTGTAAAATTGGTGCCAACTCGATGTGGTTTGCACAATTGCACTTGTCTAACACTAATTGGTATTGCTTAATTATTATTCTGTTGTATTGTCTTTTTAGCACATCATTTTATTTTTTTTTAAAAATGTCATAAGTTGATTCTTATTAAGGTTATAAAAATTTGGTCAAAAATGTCTGAAATTGAGCGTGATAAGTCATTATATATTTAAAGTCTTGCTAAAGTCATAACTTTGGTTAAAAGTGTCGTAAAGTTTGATGGTGTTAAGTACTCCACAACTTTAGTTAACAATGTCCAAAATTGATTTTTTGCCGGATATACCAAACTTCAAGCAAAAATATCTAATGTATAATCCTCACAAAGCGACACTTCAAACGCTAATGTCTGAAGTTCAGCTCAAAGCAGGTAAACTTGAAAAGAAAAAAAACTGACTTTGAATTAATATTAAATAATATCTCCAAAAAAGAATATTTGTACATTTCTCTTTTTAATTTAGTGTAAACACTCAATCCACATATATCAATAAATATTATACTCCTCCAATGAAACAACTTATTGCCATTTGTTTAGATTAATTTGATTTTCTATTTATCCAAAGATCAATCAATCTATCTATAATAATTACTATATCCATAGATCAAATTTAATTTTGAGATGGTATTTGTATGGTTTTGTACTTTTATTCATTGTTCCAAATCATACTATTCCCTCACTATTAAAAAACATGAGTAATTATTAACAAATAAATTCCGTAACTTAGCAACTAAATTTGTCATTAATTCTATTCAATAGTAATATAAGTATATAATTAAACAATTCTATTAAGTATGAGTAATTTAGTGATGAAGTTGATAGCTGATTCCTTTTTCTAGAGGCTCGATACGTAAGAATTGGGTAAGCTAATTCATAAGTCAAGATTATGTTAGTGAACTCGAAAACCTGCAAGACTATAAAAAGGTAAAAGCACTATGATCTCAATTCTCATCTTCCAAAATCTTTTGCCTTTGGAATGAAAAGGACAACAGAAAGAAGTATATACATCGATCTGTAATGTATATTTTATTGTATTTAATAATATATATGTGATATATAGTTATATATTATATATACATAAGTATATACTATTTATACAAAATAGATATATTATATATACTATCTATTAAATATACATATTGATCATTTTGTTGAAAATGTTTTCTGTTGTGTTTTATGATATATACCAACTTCTCTATGTCTATCTGTCATATGTTATACTCGTTTTGTTCAACAATAGTTGTTTTCTATTGATTTGACACGCATTTTTTAAGAAACAATATAAGGATAATATACTATTTTAGCCTTTGAATATATTAAATTCAGTACTTTGGGAAATGTATTAGATATTGAATAGAGCAAGGATAAAATAGACACAAACGGATAAACTATCTCTTGATTTTTCAAACTAGATAAATATTATTGGATAATTATTTTTAGAATAATAGACAAGTAAAAATGAAGTATATATTATCATCTCATCATCAGCTCATAAAGAGAGAACTCATGAAGTGAGTGAGTTTTTTTAACCGTTAATTGGGGGATTTGAGTATGCCATGTGCTCTTGTTACACTTTTTAATGAATAATTGATTATGGAATTTAAATTTACTTTCTGAGTTTGCCCTCAAGAAGTAGTTAGAAGAATGTTCTTTTTATTGTTTTGCAAGGAAATAAAGAGATAAGGGTGTAAATAGTATTAAAAAAAACATGATAGAATGTAAATCACAAAATACTATATTGCAAGGCTGTTCAAAATCGATAATTCAAATAAAAAAGTTTTTAATTTTCTTTATTATCGAGTTATCTATTCTTAACGGTTTGAGGTTTATCTTAATGGGTTAACCTATAACCCGATAGTAAATTAAATAATTATATTTATACCATTTGGTACATAAAGTCCTTGAGTTAGAGTGTAATTTCATACTTTTATTTTTGAGCGTCTCAAACTCTCTGTTATTCTATAATGTGACAGTGTTTGCTTTTGAACAAGATGCAATCTGTCAACTCATGTGCATGATTCATTTGGTTTGTCACCTTATTTCTAAGTGAATTTCAATGATCTTTTTTTTGTGTCAAATCTTAACAGTTAAACCGATAACTGATAAATCAATAACCAATTATTGATAAACTTCAAAACCGAACCGACTGATAGGTTGCAAATTGCAAGGACCTCCATTAATAAAATCCTATAATAAAGAGTTCTTTATGGATGAAAATGCAATCATGAATACTTGGGACTTCTAATTTAGGCCCTATGCAAAAGTTCTTTGAATACTTCTGAAAAGTTATGGTACTACATTTATAAAGCAGGTAGTGCCTGCTGATTTAGGATTCAATATAGACACAATGAATCAAAACATAGAAATTTGCCTTTAGAAAGGCCATATTGTACTAAATTTATAAAAAAGCATACTGAGAAATAAAGGTAAGTGGTTGAATATGTTCCTCTACAGTAGAAAAACAAGCAACCATAACTTTTGATCCAAATGGAGTACCAGTTTCTGGATTGCCATTCTCACGCGTCTTCGTTGTAAGCTAGCTTCTTGTCTTGGAGTTCTCCAGTCCTCGTCTCTATAGATTCGTTCATTTCATCTTTCTTGACTACCCCTCTGTTATCACGATAAATTCCGTATAAAATTAACTGCACTGCTCCTAACAAAGTTCCAATGACATTTGGTACCTGTAAGACAAACACTTCACTGAGATTTGTCATTGTTATTGAATCAATCTTTTATGCCTTTGTTTGGTTGGTACTGACTTAAGTATCATGATTTTCTGAAAACCTTACAAAAATTCTAGTCACCAAAACGTAAAAGTTACTGAATACTTGAAATAAAAGCTTATTCTTACCAAAATGAAAGGGTCCTTTCCGAGCAGGGCGAAGATGAACCATGAGATACTGCAGATGAAAACAGCTAGTGACAAGAAGAATGGCATGTACTCAACGCTTTTAGATTTGATTACCAGCCTCTACAAAAGGAGAGAAAGGAATAGAGTTATAAAAGAACATAAAGAGGATTTTGTTTTACTGCTAATACAAGCTTGATTTTAGCTCTAATGTCGAATTCGAAAGTACATTTATAAGGATGAGATTAGGATTTGTTGTTAGGAGAGTACCATTGATGAGAAACACAGTCTTGACACAGTGATCATTTGGGCCACATATTTGTTTTCATTCTATGAATGTCTAAAGCTGAATCATTCAAATCTCAGTATATCACTTATTTGCTCTGAATTTGTCATAATGACAGATTATGTGCAAAATCGTTAAGATAATGTTTACTTAAAGTTTTCTGTGAAGGGATCTTTTAGCATTTTTCTAACTACCACATAACAACCACTGTCAGCCTCCACACTGCCCACCACAGCCCTAACGGCCTCTATCACTAGCCTCAACCTCACAAGCATTTCCACCACTAATCGCCACATCAAAACTTCCACCTCCTAGACACCATTGCAAGCCAGTCAATCAGCATTGCTGGTCACCTCTACCAAATACAACCACCACTAGGCACCATATCAACTACCACTATCACTGGCTTTTAGAACGTCTTTAGTCAAACAATTAAAAACACTCAATCTTAAATATCCCATGCTCATATGAGAGAAAAGATTTTAATATTTTGATGTGTTCACACTCAAATATTTTAATCTTAACCGAAAAACGTCCACTGGAAAAACATGTGAATAAAACCAGTGATTTTCTTACTATGACAGATTGACCAATATATCTAATAGATAAGTCAATGTATAGCAAAAAGTGAATAAAATGCCTAAATTAGCAAACAAGAAAACAGATTATAGATGGACACATCTTTTGTAACCTGTCCGTAACAATGAATCCACTAGTAAATATACCAACCTATATCAATGTCAAGAAATGGATCTTGGACCTTACTCAACTCAAAAGCTAGCTCATGAGGGGAGGATTGCCCAAGACCATATAAGGAGATCAAAGGACTCCTTATCCCACCGATGTGGGACTCCAACACCCTCTGCACGCCCAAGACGGGACATCTGGAGCATGGACTATATAAGACGGGAGGGCCAACATTGAAAACAATGAATTGAAAAAAATTCTAAAAAAAATATTTCACAAAGGATGACAACGTAAATTCTTACTTCTAGTACCTATTGAGTATACTAAAAACTGAATCAGCTAGTGACTTTGCTAAATAAGTGGAGGACTAAATAACTTACCATTACAGAGAGAGGAGAACCATACATCATAATACAAGAAGTTGTAAAAGCAAAGCCGCAAAGCAGCTTCCTTTTATTGCCATGAAATGCCAACAGGGAAATCAAGGCCACGCATGAGACGATGGAAAAGACCACAAAGAGGTATCCACAAATTTTGGCCTTCTCTTTCTTGGGGGCAAATATGAGGAAAATCAACACATAGGTTGCCTCCAGGCCAGCGCCTATGGAATTGACGATAGTTACCAGCAGGTTGTCTGGTGACACAAAAGGTAAACTGTACCTGTTTTCATTCACCAAAAGCCAATTTCTAAGTTAAACTAAATATTTATTTTAAGAAGAAATGGCAACGACAGTATTATGTTTGGACCTGAATTATATACACATACAGTTATAAGTTATTTACGCTATTAGTGTAGTTAATATGTGATAGCATGTTTGTTACCATTTTTACTAGGTTAGAAAATTAAAATTTATTATAGAATTTTTTTCTAATTCTCTAACCAGATTGTAACCATCACTTCAGAGTCAAAAAAATATTGCATTCGATTGCACCCAACTTCTCTATGGGTGTGTTTCCTATGGAGCTAAACATTTTCCTAATTTTCTCATGTTTGGTTGGTCAAAACGTTTCTCCAGTAACACAAGCTCCTTAAGTGGCATTCCACCCCAAATGTATCCTCCCCAACCCAGATACCCTTACCCTTCCCATTCTCACTACCCTACCCCATCCCCTTCATCCCATCCTTGCTACACATACCTATCCCCCCAAGCCCTCCTCACCGCCCATGCGCACTAACCCCTGACCTCACAGTGTTTGTTTAAATTATATATAAAAACTCATGGAATAATATTTTCTGCTTAGTACTTATCAAACACCAGAAAATAATTTCCGTGAAAAATATTTTCCTTTCATACCAAACACACCCATGTGATTTTGTTTTCATGTCCTAATTTTAATAGTGACAAAAAAAAAAACCTTTTATTAGTAGCATATAAGTTAATTAAAATAGAAAATTGTTCTTTTTTTCCTTTGAACCAAGGATGCTAAAGGGGAAAGAGAACAATGAAGGTTGCACTATGATGCTTGTAAAACCTAAACTATAGCTTAGGCGGCGAAAATTAGATATTTATTTTTCCCAACGTAACTTTACCACTTCAGAAGATTAAGCTCCCCTGCAATGGCTCTGACCTAATCATGTTCAATCATTCCAACAAAAAAATATTTTGAAGGTGTTTGGCTAAGCTTATCAAACTTGCTCATAAACACTTATTGGCTTATCTACGCATTTGATGACATCAATAGTAGTGCTTATAAGCCAAGATCTGCAAGAAGTACTCATAATCTGGTCCAGCCCTATCTTATGGTTTTACAACTTATAAGAATTTTTGGTTTAAACAAACCTTTTACAATTTTACCCTTGATATCTTTTGTAGTTTTAGAAATAACTTGTATAATAACATAACTTTTAATTATTTCTTTATTCTATTTCCACCATTCATCCTTCTTACTGTAAAAAGGTACTTTCAAATTTATATATTTTGTAAATAATTTTAAGGATATTGCAGTCATTTTAATAGAAAAAGTGCTTATCAGCACCTTTTTACTTAACATGCCAAATGTTTATTATCAGTTTCAGCACTTCTATTCAACTATGTCAATGCTTATTTGGAAAATCAATTTCAATACCTAAAAGTGTTTTTCAGCACTTGATGTTTATCAGATAACTCAAACGGGCTCTTTAATTAAGTATTAATAGGAGAAAGATTACTAACTGAAGAAACATACCAAACTGAGAGCAAGCAATTGAGCAGAGCTATTACATAAGGTATGCTAGAGAACTGTTCTGTTGATCTCTTGCTAATAATCCTTTTGAATGTAATCCTGTATGTAGTGTCAAACTCTGATCATTAAAGTGTTCTATTAGTTTTGTTGAGAAAAATAAGCCGAAAAAGAAGACAAAAAGAGCACACGTACAAACGTAACAAAATAACAAAAATTTCAAGAAGGCTTACATCGGCGACATGAAGAGTAATACACCAAAAACATTTCCTACTCCAGGAAGAAAAAAACAAGAAAGAATTATAATAACCAATATTCACAGAAAACTTGGAATGAGAACAAGAACTAAGAAGCATGAACCTAAAATTCCAAAAGCAGTGCGGAGAACTTTGATGTCTCTCATGGAAGAGATTTCTTTTTTCAAGCAAGAAAACTGGAAATGTCCCCGAGAAGGTTAGCATATGGTGCAGGCCAGCAATTTTGTTTGAGTATGTCTAATATACAGCTAAAAAGGATCCTTTTACTGTTGAAGAATAACTGGCTTTTGTTTGTTCATTGAGCAGTAGGACAGGAATTTGGTTCTTATGCACATATATTCCTACCACGTTTTTCACTCAAAGTTGTTATTAATCCATACTATCCAGTTAAGTAAAGCATATACTAGCTTGATATTAAATCGTACTCTTAATTTGTTGAAACACACTCATAGCCAGCATATTTTGAAACAGCATAAAGTAATATACTCAAACATGGTTATCATTTCATTTATACTCAAGCATTTGTCCTAAGCAAGGATACTTGAAATTCTCAACCTTTTCTTAAGCTTATGATTATGTCGAAAATGCAATTTTAATGAAAGCTAGTCCTATATGTTAGGTTATCACTTATTTTATGTCATCCAATTTACTCGATCTCAACTCCTTCATCAAATTATGGAGACAATACATATCTAAGGATTAACAACCAATAAAACTCAAAAAGTTTATCTAGTATGTATACCATAGGATTCACAATACCTGCTACCAGTTTATTGGTTCAAATCCTATGTGACTGTAAATCTGTAACGAAACTCATCTATAGCTATCAACCAACTATTGTAGAATCCTTAATACCCATATCTGTTAGGATTCATAAACTACACTAATTCAACAACATACCCAGTGTAATCCCACGAGTGGGGTCTGAGAAGGGTAGAGTGTAAGCAGACCTTACCCCTACCTTGGGAGGTAGAGAAGGTGGGGGTCATAAACTCCTCAAATCTTGCATGCAAATTCAAAATACTCGGAATCTTATACCATGAGTCAAGCCTTAACTCATGATCTACATATAATTCACCCATATTCTTAATCCATCATGAACTCAAGCAACTCAAACTCTAATCATGAGTTTTATATATGTTTACTTTTACAAGTCATTCCAAAGTACGTGAGTCCAACTTCAACTTTGAGTGAAACCCAAGCCAAGGGAATGAAGACCAAGATAGTTAACTTCAACAGGGGCTCAGTCCACCCAAGATTTACTCAAGTTATTTCTAAATTTTGTTGTCCATGAATAGAAAGGATCGTAAAGGGTGAAACATAGGTGCATCACGTATTACAATAATAAGCATCAGAAAATTAACTGATTTTTTTACAACTGGGTGAAATAGTTTTTAAATTTTTTTTATAACCGTGAGGTCCTCAATTGATTCCACAGGGTACCTGTCAGCTCCCCCAGCAACAGGTACCAGGCAACTCTATCCACCAAGACTAGAACAAATGGGAAGAAATCACCTAGTGTTTTGTCTCTGCTGGGAATTGAACCTGAGACCTCATGGTGCTCAACCCACTTCATTGACCACTAGGTCACACCCTTGGATGCTAATCTCAAATTTTAAAAGAATCATAGAATAATGAGATATATAAGTTTTGTCATCGTTGAATAACTATTTTTCACGATACTTATGATATATTGTTACAAAATATTCTCACATGCCATGAGTTTGACAAAAAAAAAATCAGACACCCATGAGTTGCAACCCAATTTTCTTACTTTAATAACTACAGATTTATAATCACTAACGTTTTTTCCGATTTAGGTGAAAAAAGTGATTGACATTTAAACATACTTGCATAATCGCTATCACCTCTTTTTTGCTTCTTCAACATCTTTGGATTCAGAGAACATGTAAAAAGTATAAAGAAATGAGATTTATTGGAGGGTGATATTTATTCTCAGCAAAAGCATAAATACAGAAAACTATTTAATAAAGTTTCTTCATAATGACCAAAAGGCATCCACATTAAGATGAACTAAGAATAAAAAGATGCCCACTAATGGAACCTATATTAACAATTTTCTTTTATTTTTCAGTTAATGAAAGAGAAGGATTCATTCTCTCTTTTCCACCACTATCCTCTCTTTTACTTTTGTCTCTTTAGTCTTCTCAATTTTATTGTAATTATTTAGGAAGTCCTAGGGAGTGGATGAGTACTTTTACAGAAGAGGAAAAAGTTAAATTATAACTTCTTAATCAATTTGACTGACCAGGAATATTAATTGTCTGGAGAAAAAAAGTTGCAACCTACATTCGCCCGTAACTATAGCAGTGCACCACTGACGTAAGTATCAGGCTTCACATGATGAAGAATATTCCCAGGCATCACAGTTTGGTAGTTTATAATGCACTTGCAGAGTCAAAACCAGATGACTTTAAAGCTAAAAACATTTGTGACTTACTATTACCTTGGTGAACAGCATACTAGCCAGTGAAAGTACTTCAACTTCCATATACTAGTGTCGGCATCAGATTCTCTTCCAACCAGCTTCCATTTTCAGCACTACATTTTCAACAGAAAGTTGGAGACACAGCGAGCAAAAGAGACAGCATTTGCACACAAAAACTGCTGTTTGATATGTGGAAATGGATTGGATTCACAGGAGAAAAAAGACAGCATCTTCAAAAGCAAAGCATATCAATATGGAAAACAAACCATCAAGAAGTGAATATTAACAGAGCACCAATCCAAATGAGGACATCCAAACAGAACACTTCTCAACTTTGTGCTTAACTTCTCGGAAGGAATCTTGTACATGTCCACATTATCTGAATAAGTAAAATGACGGTAGTATCAGTATATTGATCAAGTAACTATTGGTACTGTAGAAAAGCAACATGAAGAGTAGTAAGAAAAAGGTATCTTAAAATGAAACTATTGATGTAGTAACAGTAATTGTGTTGTCTTGGCAAAAACAAATAAAAAAATGAGAATCTTGCAGTCGATCCATCCGCTAAACTCTAGATTTGGTGCAAATTTGGCCATCCTTCAACACCTTCCCGACCAACCCACCATCCTCCCATCCTGTAGATCTGTCTCAACTTTCTGATCAACCAACCACTCCCCTTTTTTTTTTTGAAGAATTAACCTAAATAGCCACCACCAAACCACTTCAATTAAAAATAACCAGCGGATGTATACTATATGTATAATCCATGTATATTTTGAGTGTAGTCGTGTATAACCAGACTACTAGAGTATAATCTACGTATATACACTAGGAAAAGTAAAGAGGAAATCCAGCCAGCTATTTGAGTAAGGGTCCCTTTGTTTCAAGTTCAACCAGTGTTTTGAGAAGCGAGAAGCGGAAAAAAGCGACGAGGGCTCGCTTCACAGAAGCGAGAAGCGAAGCTGCGCGCTTTTTTTAAGAAAGCGATATTTAGTATAAAAAAAAAAAAAAATACTGAATAGAGGTAATATATTCTTTAGATTAAAAGTAAATAGATAGTCAATAATACTCGTAAGTCATAACATATAAAGCAAAAAATCAAAAACATAATTAAATCACAAAAGTAAATAGATAGTCAATAATACACACATCACTGAATCACACAGTCACTGTATAGAAATAAAAAAGAAAAACAAGAGCAGCAAAAGAATTGGAAAAAACAGAGCAGTAATATTAATTGAAAAAAAACCCGGTCAGTAATAGAGATTGAAAAACAGAGCAGCAAACAGAAATTGGAAAAAAAAAATGCAGCAATAAAAATATAGAAAACACCCAGCAGCAACCAAAAAAAAAAAAACAGTCACAGATCAGTCGCAGCAGCCTCACAGAGAAGAAGAGAAGAAGAAGAAAAAGAAGAGAACTAACAGTAGTGGCAGCCTGGCAGCAACCAAAAATAGAAAAAAAAGTCGCAGAACAGTTGCAATAGTGGCAGGAAGAAGAGAAGAAGAAGAGAACTACAGCAGCAGTCGCAACTTCTTAGTCTCACAGCAGTCCAAAAAAGAAATTTGAAGTCGCGAAAGAGGTATATTAAGTCGCATAAGGATTTACAGAAATTTAAAAAAAAAAAAACTTAACAATTTTTAAAAAAAGAAACCCTAATTAGCGCTTTTTTCAAATTAAGCGCGCTTTTTTACGCTTTTGCTTTTTTTGCGCTTCTCGCTTCTACAGTAGAAGCGAGCGCCTTTTCTATGTCGCCTCGCTTCACGAAATAAAAGCGCAGGGGCCTCGCCTCGCCTCGCTTCTCGCTTTAAGCGCGCTTTTTACAACACTGCTGATTCAACCCTTTGCTTATATGCTCCAATATAATCTCTTTTTGATATTATCTTTCGTTCAGTTTAAAGTACGTTACGAAAGAATATGAGCATCCAATTCAAAATGAGGCAATAAGTGAAATAGGACCATTATGAACTCCTTTAAAGTATAAGCTGACATCCTCCACACCTGTGACCAGTTTTGAGGACTAGAAGACAAGGGCGGAGCCAACTTATGGTAAGAGGTTCATCCGAACCCCCTTTGGCGAAAAAGTATACTATTTATACATGGTTAAAATTACTTTTTATATATATATAATAGATGTCGAACCCCCCTTCAACTAGTTCGTCTGTTTATTTCTTCAGATTTTGAACTCCCTTTTAATAAAAATCCTGACTCCGCCTCTGCTTGAAGACTATTTTTTCTGACAGACCCAGATCTTTCAGAAGTTCAGAGTAGCTCAACGGGCTAAAGCGTGGACGTGGAGCATATAGAGAAGACTCAACAAGTTAGGGTGTGCCTGGAAAGAAAAAGTGAGCTCAACAAGTTAAAGAGCGGGAATGATGCAGAAAGGGAAGGACTCAACAGGTATAAAATGGGTTTGGAGCAGAAATAGAAGATTCAACGAGCTAAGAAATATACTTGGACAAAAGATTGTACAAGTACATGTATTAAAATGGTTGGAGTAGAAAGAACAATGTTTCAGATACATTTGACTCCAACATATCGTATCTTTTAGTGAAGATGTCCTTCGGGAACTAATTATTAAATTGTTGGAAAATGTAAGTATATTCTACAAAAGGAATATTAGATTTCTGCTAAGCACATACAAGTTTTCCACAAAAAAAAAAATTCTCCTTAAGGTGGTTACTTTTTGCATTAAGACCACATAATTCTCCAAAGCCCAAAAACAGGATTAGCTTCAACTTAAGTTAATCCAGGATTCTGTCCCTTTATTTGTTCTGAAAATAGCAATTATTCCACGACCTGAGAAATAATACCTTCATGGATCTCATCTTGCCCAAAATTTTCAATGCAATAATTTACTCTTGTGATTGGACATCACAGTTTCTCCGAGTTGATTCCTCTCCCTGCAGCCGTACTTTGAGAATTATCATATTTCATTTCACGAGAGTACTTAATTCAGATCAGTAGTCCATCCAGGCATCCACTGTGATCATGCAACTTCAAGTTACATTTGATGTAAGATTTCACCCATGTCAGAATAATGCGTATTCAAGAAAGTAGCCTTTGAGCAATGGACATTACAAAATCTTTCTATCTATAGATTCTTTTAGAAGCCATGGCCAATAAAATTCATTCGACCTCACATGATTTTAAGTGTCCATTTAAACACCCTAAAACTCTATAGATTTCCTTCCTCTGTGGGTGCTTTGTATCTTTAGCTAAGAACTCATGGACATTATTTCCTATTTGGATTGAGCTACAACCAGGAATTTTTACTATTCCCTGGTCTCTAGTAGCTATACGAAAGTTCAAGGTATCTTGCCACCGCCCAACAGAAGAGCTTAGATTCATTATCAATGTTAAATAACTTGGGTTGTTAGGCTCTTGCTCCAGGATCCTCCTGGTTAAGGATTCTAACAAATCCCCGTTTCTATAAGTTTTACAAGCAGAAAGCAATGTGGCCCAAATGACCACGTTAGGTTCCAAATGCATGCTCTTAATGAAACTCAGTGCTTCTTCAAACTTTCCAGCTCGGCCAAGAAGATCAACCATGCATCCATAATGCTCAATCCGTGGTTTAATGCCAAATTTATTCACCATCTGGTAAAATACCCTTTTCCCTTCTTCCAGCAGCCCTCTATGAGTGCAAGCTGAAAGAACAGCAATAAATACAACATCATCCGGCTCTACTCCTTCCAAGCACATTTTTTCATAGAGTTCTAGGGCGTCTCTGCAATGTCCATTCGCTGCTAATCCTGAAATCATTGTAGTCCAAGTAATTATACATCTTTGGGCCATCCTTAAGAAAACTGCTTTTGCATTTTCCATATCTCCACATTTTGCAAATGTGTCGATTAAAGCATTTCCTAGCGGAACTGATAAGTCAAATTTGTTCTTTCTTATAAAAGAATCAATCCATTTTCCATGCTCATGAGACCCCAAATGTGAACACGCTGAGAGTACACTAATCAAAGTAGTCTGGTTGGGTTTGCAGTTCCCATCAATCAACATATGCTGAAACACTGACAGAGCTTCATCAAACATGTGGTTATTTACATATCCAGCAATCATGGCATTCCATGAAACAACATTTTTTTCTGGTATTCGATCAAACATCTTTCTTGCTGATTGCACATCACCACTTGTGGCATATCCTGACACCATTGCAGTCCAAGAGATTATACTTTTCTCCGGCATCTCATCAAAAATAGCTCTAGCAGTCTCTACGTCACCCAACTTTACATATCCAGAAATCATTGTATTCCAAGAAACATCATTCTTCTCCGGCATACGATTAAAAACAGAACGAGCCATCTCCATGTTCCCAACCTTCAATAGCCCAGCAATAACCGAATTCCACGAAATCAGATTCCTCTCCGGCATAGCCTCAAACAAACAAAGCGCATATTCTTGATTACCATGAATCATATAAGCACCAATCATCGTATTCCATGAAACAACATCTCTATCAGACATTTCATCAAACACCTTACGAGCAGAACCCAAATTCCCACCACATTTAGCATAAAAATCCATAAGGGTATTCTTAGCAAACACACTCGACTCGAAACCCATCTTCGCAATCTGACTATGAACTACTTCTCCAGCTTGTAAAGCATCAAAAGACTCAAAACACCTCAAGAGAAACGTAAATGTGAAACTATTAGGTGTAATATTCGATACCCTCATATGGTTATAAGTATATAATGCATATTTCAATGTCTTACCAATGAAGCATTGAATCAAAGTATTGTAGGAAATAAGAGTTGGATTTTGTAAGTTTTCAAAGACATGAAGTCCATAATCAAGTGAAATGAAGTTTGAGGAAAAAGTTATGAGCTTTGGCACTATAAAGTTGTTATTCATGAGGCCATTGACAATAATCTGAAGATGGGTCTCTTTCAACTGTTTGCTAGTTTTGGATTTCTGTAAAAATTTGAGCAATTTTTGCTCCATTTTTGTGCGAGTTTTGGAAAGTTCAAAGGCTTAATACAGGTAATATAGTTAATAGAGTGCCAACAACAGGGAAGGTGAGTTCTTGGAAATTAAGGAAATTGCTTTTTAGGACCTTACTTTTTAAAGATCTGTATTTAGGACCTCTTATTATTGTTATGCTTAATTTTGAATTATAATTTTTATCTAATCGCACTTATAATATATTTAAATTTTAACTTTCATTAGGCTTTCATTAACATTGACACCTTTTTTCAAATCATTAATTGAACTTCTTGTATTATGTGAATTTTTTGCATTGATAGTCTCTGAAAGGTTTGAAAATTTTATTCGTTTACTTGATAGAAGTATTGTTAAAACATTCCTTCAGAATGACTCAATTGATTTGGAGGGTGACCATCCACCGGGATCAATTCCCATTAATGTCTTCTAAATAGAGTATGTTGCATAGGACTTGCTTAGTGTGGTTTACATCTCATATGTGATTTGCAAGTTATTACGTATGGAGTTTATCCAATGTGCATAGAATACTCACGCGAAGACATGGGCAAAGGCAATCTATTACACAATGGGTGCACACGAAGTGTTCACCATAGACTACTCAAACAAAGGGAGGGCAGAGGAAATCTATTACACAATAAGGGATTTACCTAATGCACATTTCGTACAAAACAACTAATTGATTATGTCTTGATTCCAAATTAGTAGAATTAATCATAATATGTAATCCATATCTTTGTCACTCTATTTAGGTAATTTCATAGAGTAATTTGAAATACATAAGGACCATAAATATAGTTATCAGAAAATGTAAGGACTAAAACACAAAAGAGACATATTTTGCGAGTCAGTTAATGGCAGTGAAAGCAAGAAACTTTGTCCTTGCTTCTGAAGAACTCAGAAATGATCACAAACCCATTAAAGAATTGGTCTTACAGTATAAAGAACTGCATATCTCAAGGAAAATTCAAAGAAGCCCTTTTAACATATAAACATAATCGTATCAATGGAAGTTTTATAATGGGTGTTGTTCCTTTGGTGCTAAAGGCATGTGCTTCACTTTCAATGCTTAGCCTTGGCAAAGCCTTACATGCTGAATCTGTGAAATCAGGATTTGATTGTAATGTAATGGTGGGGACTGCGTTATTGGATATGTATGGTAAATGTGGTGAAATTCGGAGTGCCCGGAAAGTGTTTGATTATATGCCTGAAAGAAATGTGATTACATGGAATGCTATGATAGGAGGATGTATAAAGAATGGTGATATAAAGACTGCTTTTTTATTGTTTGAGAATATGTCTGAGAAGACAATTGTGACTTGGAATGAAATGATTGATGGGTATGCGAGGAATGGAGATATGGTGATGGCTAGGAGTTTTTTTGACCGGGTACCAGATGAGTTGAGGAATGTTGTTACATGGAGTGTGATGGTTGATGGGTATACTAGTAATGGGGATATGGATGCTGCAAGGGAATTGTTTGAGATTATGCCAACAAGGAATTTTTATGTCTGGTCGTCGATGGTTTCTGGTTATTTTAAGAAGGGTGATGTTAAGAGTGCCGAGGCCATATTTGATAGGATGAGTATGAAGAACTTGGTGAATTGGAATTCATTGATATGTGGTTATACACAAAATGGGTTGTGTGAAGAAGCCTTGGAAGCATTTACAAAAATGCAAGATGAGGGTCTTGAACCAGATGAGGTTACTGTAGTTAGTGTTTTATCGGCTTGTGCCCAGTTGGCTTTACTGGATGTTGGCAAGGATATACATGAAATGATAATTCGGAAAGGGATTGAATTGAATGAATATGTTCTTAATGGGTTGGTTGACATGTATGCAAAATGTGGGGATTTAAGTAACGCCAGATTGATTTTTGAAGGAATGTTGGTTAAGAATGATGCTGCTTGGAACTCACTAATATCTGGTTTTGCTAACCATGGCCACTGTGTGGAGGCAATTAATTTTTTTGAGAGAATGGCTAGTTCAGGAGTGAAACCTAATGATATAACATTTCTCTCAGTGCTATCGGCTTGTGCCCATGGTGGATTTGTGGAGGAAGGTTTAGAGATCTTCTCCAGGATGGAGAAATATGCATTGACAGCGAGCATCAAGCATTATGGTTGTCTTGTAGACCTTTTGGGAAGGGCTGGAAGATTAGAGGAGGCTTGTGACTTGATAAAAGGGATGCCTGTCACACCAAATGACACAGTTTTAGGGGCTCTGCTTGGAGCATGTCGGGTTCACTCGGACACAGATGTGGTGGAAAATGTGCTGAAAGAGGTCAGAAAATTGAACTACATTAGTGATTCCGGTGATGATGCACATTATGTGATTTTTTCAAATATATATGCTGCTGCTGAAAGGTGGGAGAAAGCTGAAAGGATGAGGTTTGCCTTGTCAAATAAAGGGTCTCAGAAGACACCAGGGTGTAGCGTGGTCATGCTCGATGGACCAGAGACTAGTTTTATGCAAGTATTGACAGCATAAACTTCTAAAACATGATACTAAAACAATGTTGAGGTGATTGTACTGACAATCAAACAGAGCTATCAATGCCTGATGTCGCGATCAATCCAGAAGAGGTGCCTTCTGAAGACTTGTAATATTGGTAACGTAAACAGTTTACAATAATCATAGGTAGCTAAAATTTGTTACAAAACTCATTCTAGAGGAAATTCTCCTCTCACATACTTAACTGTATATACTACTAGAGGTGATGTGGCATTCTTATAAATAATTGTGATTATAGTGACCGACTCTTCTTCCTTGTGCATTCCACCTCTGCTAAGGTGCTATCACGCATGGGGTAGATGTGTAAATTACACAACCCTGAAAGACTCAGCGATCTTTCTCAAATCTTTGTAATACCTTTTCCATTGAAGACCTGTGAAATCACAGCGAGTTGTAGGATTTGAACAATTTATAATAGCAGATATTCTGAAGATAGAAAGTGTTGATTTGGTTCTTACCATTTCCAGTAACATTGAACAAGTATAGGCGATTTCCAGCAGCTGTTGCTGTGATCATTACATGTGGTGGCTCTAATTCAAACTGGTAATATGTTCTTCCCTCATGCTCTGCTACTTCAGATCTTAAGACTTTACCTTCAACATTCTCTCCAATGACTTCAGGCCCAAATGCGCTAATCACTTTATCTGGAGGTCCAATTTGTTCTATGGTAGCTTCTTCACCAATTTCTACATTATATTTTGAGTAGAATACCACCAAGATTGAATCCATTAGAGACAAATTGAGTTGATTATATTTATTTGTTAGTATGTTTTACATGTTCATCCATATGTTCATCTAAGATCATTTTTTGTTTTAGTTCTTAGCGTCATTACTAGAATAGAAGGAAGAAAAAACATGAGATGCTCACCATCTGAAAATCTTTTTACAGGAGCAACAATTACAATGACTCTCCCTTCTTTGGGATTTGCGAATCTCAAGTCGATCTCTGTACCACCTAGATCAGCAATTGACACAGGGACCTGTTCAACAGGTGAAAACATCAAAAGTGGACCTGATTAAGGTATGTCCAATCATGCAAAGTTGATTAATATCAAGCTTAAAGGTAATTTCTCTAACATTGTCTACTGAAATATGTACAGTTGTGAATAAATGGATTCCTACCTCTTCCCATTTATCAGGCACGGAAAAAGTATAAGGAATCATAGGACTCCATCCAACACCATGTCCACCTGACTTGTCATCCGGTCTTCGGTATGTCCTCCAACCTGCCTGAGCAATTTTGTCCTTGTTAAGATGAACGTTTACTTGGAAAATGAAAAAGTACAAACGAAAAAGACACTAAGAATTCCAATAATGTAAGGAAGTATTGCTGGATTTATGTGTTTTTGATAAGATTACACGTTGAACAAGTGTTCTTTCATTATGTGGATGTAGTCTGTGTCAACATGCATTTTCCAGCTTAGAGACAATCTTTTGTTGCAATCCAAAGCTATGAACAATACCAATTGACTTAGTAAGAAGAGTCTACTAATTGTCCAAGTTTTTCAACATCACTCATGAAAATATCGATAAGCTTATTGCAGTGTTATATATGAGACTAACCTTCCTCATCTGGTTCAGACAGTCCAGGAACTCTCCCTGCTAGGAGACCTTGTTTAATTACAGCAGATCCCTCTCCAGGAAAAAGCAGTACTGATGAAATCAAAGAAGCACCAGATATAATAGCTGATCTCCTATTCAATGAGCCTGCAGATATCTCACAATCCCGGTTCATACGAGCATCTTCTTTAGAACAAGCAGCAGCTTTAATTCTTGGACACCCTTTTTCTGGAACACCACGCGGAACCACATGGTGAGAGGGATTCATCTGTCTGCACAGATTTTTCCAAGAAAGGCAGCTACTGCTGTATACAAATGTCCCCATTTCCTCCCAACCGAGAAAGAAATGTGGTTTGTGACCAAAAAAAACTATGCAATATGGGGACCTTCAGTTATCAGATTAAAGCCTCTTTGATTATGTTGTTGGGTTGTCCTTTAAACTTATAATATGAATTCTTCCTCCTAAACTGAAAAGAGCTTTTGATTGGGTTTACACCTTGCAAAAGCTGAGGTCCACAGAGTTTGGAATGTCTTGAGATTTTTTGTGGTTGTGGTGGCACTGATTTAAAGATTTGGTTTTTGCTTCATCGAATAAAGTTCTTGAAAGTTCTGGCTTTACATGTTATCACTTATTCACTTGTCACTTGCGGCTCACCAATAAAAACCATATTTTTGTGGTTATTACAATTCTGCAAATTTTGGTGAAAAATGTCGTATTTTGGAAACCGCATCTTATCAAATTATGAGATTTATTTAAATATAGTCATAGGTATCAATATAAATAGATGACTTAACAGTACCAAATAATTAAGACAAGTTTTTATATTTTGTGAAGGAAACCAAAAGTAACACTGAATAGAATCGAATAAATTTATATATATTAAACAACATATCTAATGAAATCTCACAAATGGGGTCTACAGAGGTTAGTGTACGCAAGCCAATTCCAAGTATAAAGAAGAAAATAATGAAGAAACTATAAAAACTAATAAAAGAAGCCAAAATAGTGCAGTGGACGAAACACAATAATCATATGAAGATACATATCAAAAACTAGTAAACAGAGGAGCTTAACATTATAGTCTTCAGAATAGCCTAAGGAACCACAATTCCTTTGACAAATGACAACCTATACATCAGGAGAAAACACGAAAAAAAGAATGTGCAAATTTCTTTTATCAGGGTGAACAAATAATAAGAATAGTTAGTGAGATTTTCTTTATAGCTCTGGAACAATTACAGATGCGACTATAACAAAAGCACAATTGATCTACAAGTCGTGAAAAACGTGTTCAAGGCAGAGGCATGGGTGGTTTCCACTTGCTGAATTCCACCAAATTTCTGTTGACTATAGTTCTATTATGGAGCCAGAAAGTTTCTGATGACTGGTGGAATTGCCTTACTTTTCTCTGCAGTTCCCACATAATTGCATTAAATGCAGAGCAGGAATCAGACTCGGGTGTATAAGCGAACAAGCACCTGATCTTTTGACCCCTAGCTATCATTTCATCGATGTCTTTATCTGAGAATGAAAGAAAGTTGTGTCATGAATCTATTTGCTACTAACTTTAACGCAAGACGCAAGAACAATAATAGGCAGTGTGCTGACCTGGTATTGATTCTAGGTAGTCCAATAGTTCAGTTCCTATATGAGTGGATGGCCATTTGATTGATATCTGAGAATAGTCTATCACATTCTGAAATGGTAATTCTGCTTGGTCCGATAGGATTACTGGAACACATTCCTGTTTAACACAACAATAACATAAAGCAGCTTAGGAAAGTGCAATTTGACAAAATTTAGTCATACACACAAGATATGAGAGACTAACCACAAAGAAGGACTCATAAAAGCGAAGCGTCCATGATGATTCACCACGTGGAGCCAGGCAGAACTTGGCATTGCGGAGATGTTCAAAATATTCCTTCCTTCCTAGCTTGTCAGGACCACTGAATTTCAATTCTGGACATTCCAACTGTTGATAGAATCAAAAAGACCATCTTTTGGACAAAAAAGACATTATATGGAACTCAGCTGGAAGCAAATATAATCAGTGGTTTTGGAGAACTAAAGGATTCTCACACATGCAGATAAACTGAGAAATCCATGTACCTGGTAATGAATCGACAGAATACTGCTTGACAACTTAGCGACGCTTATGTTATCAACATATAGGACAAAGGTTGTTATCACTAACCTAAGGCAGTAGCAGTGGAAGATGAAATTTGACACAGATTTGAGAAAAATAGGAGGGTTCAGGATTTTTGTGAATGATTATATCTTTTGGGAGGTACAGAAAATCTTCCCATTGGAGAAAACTACTTCAGAGATATTCACCATACAATTAATTCAACAACCCATTTCAACTGAAGATACACTGGTGAGATGTATTGGCTGGGACCAGTTAAGGGAGATGTGAGAAACTGGAAGAACTTAAACAGGACATCACATACAGTAAAATGATGATTCTTATACTAGACATTGCATAAAACACTTTTTGCCAGTGAAGCCATCATTCTCAACCAAGATGTGAAGCTACATGCATCAATGGAGACGAGAAGAAGCTTACCTTGTCTGGGTACTGCTTCGAGAGTTCTATCAACCGAAGGCGACCCACCTTTCCTTGTGCTCGACCTAAATAGTTCGCTAAATGTTTCCTCTTTGACAAAGGCAAAGGCTCAACTATCCTAGAGCCATGAGTAGTCATCCCATCATCAATGTTTCCAGGTATGATAATATCTTTCCATGTATTAAAGGCGCTAGTATCTCTTTTATCTGTGCGATCCCCCTGCATTAGATGCAATGATATTCCTCAACATGGAAGACTGAATGAGAATTAACTTATTGAAGATAACAGGCATGATCGATGCAAGCATGTTAAGACAACAAACATAGAGAATAACTTGATGAACCTGCTAATAGCATCATATCTCTAGACAGAAAGATTATAAAATATTTTCTTTAGGCAGGTTCTGTGCATGATATATTAAATTGTCACGATGAACCAACCATGGAAACAACATACAGACAGTGAGAGCGAGTTGAGATTCCATGAGAGACAGAAAGAAAATTGATCACTGCATAGTGAATGACAGCACAGCAATCCATGAGACATTTTCTACGACTGCATATGAGGGGTAAGGACTATAGACTAACAGTTTGTAAGACCTTACCTCAGGGGTAAGTATTATAGACCGATTCAAGTATGTCACCCACGATTTAAATAAATGAGCTCCAGCACCACTGCAGTTCAGCAAAAGTAACACGTATTAGAAAAAGTGTAATTCTTTCAATTGAAAATGCTACCAAGAGAAATTTAGTTGCATGTCTATTTGCAACAGCATTTAGCACAGGTAACAATGGATGATCAATATTTTATCTGATTACAATATTGAAGTTGTGCTTCACATCTACATCCCAGTTCATAAGGTAGTTATTCCTGCCTTATTCAAATGGCAGTTATGACAAATGCAGCACAACTACCATTAGGCGATATTTTTATCGGATTGCAACTTTGAGGTTGTGGCTTTATATCTACATCTAAGCCCATGCAGAACTTAGCTATGCCTGTCATATTCATTTGCCAGCTCTTACAAATTCCATACGTCATTGGGTCATCTTTCCTATCCATGAGTTTAAAATATCTCCATATGACAACTTATACCTTGGGAAGACAAATATGTGGTTGCGGCCACCGGATAACCTGAAATATGGCATTTGACTTAGGACCTGCAAGCAAAAGGTTTCGAGAGAGAGAAGACCATACATAAGGAAAACGTATATGAGAGGAAATGGATACAGTGACATTTCAATTGAAGCTCTAAAGCCAAGCAAAATATCTCAATTATTCAACTATAGCAATAAATAGAACTTAGAAAGTTTTTTGACAGCTCAAATGTAATTTTAAGGTCCTGAATTTTACTACCTTCACATAGGTCTGATTAATCTCTTTGTCATTCAGTCCGCCCATCACTCGAACACACTTAGGATAAGCAGGCACAAAGAAAAGGTCCGCCTCTTCTTTCTTTCTGGTCCGGAACCTTGACTGCAAAAGCATCCTATGTATCTTAACCTACAGGCACGTCAAAAGAACAAGATATAGAAGCATTAAATAGTTAAATTCAAAACTATAACAAGAAGCCTAAAAAGGGAATGCCGGTGCACTAAGTTCCCGCTATGCGCGGGGTCCGGGGAAGGGCCAGACTACAAGGGTCTATAACAAGAAGCCTAGGAGTGAAAATTTTCATGCTATTATTGGGTGGAAACAATGTAATACTTGCAGGCTTTTACTTATGTTTCCCTCAAGAAAAAGGAGCCAAAATAAAAATACTCAGATTTATCCATGGTTTGAAGAAAAAGTGGAGAGTAAATTCTAGCAGTACCTTGCATAGACGGAGAAATTTATTGATACGATGAGTCATCTTTGTCACTAGAACTTTTGAAGTTAAGGAAATGAAATAAAGAAAAATAAATAAAAATAAGAAAATATTGAAACCTCTTTATTGATTTCCAAATAAAGATAGAGAGCTAGTCTTCTTGAGTGATTCCCAGACATATTCAACTTAGTGGTGCATCAACATAAGACCAACTTAGTGGTGCATCAACCTCAGACGTCTCTTAAGCAAATGAAGAAAACAGATATGCTCCCTTAAGATCCTTTTCTATTTTCTCCTTTTTCAGTCTCCCTTACTTTGCAACAAAGACTTAAAATTCGAAAAGAAGAGAGTTACAAATTATACAACCACCTCACACCACTTTGACTCTTGATATTAACCCTCATTGTTAGACATGGAAAAAGTAATGTTTGACAACAATTGGACTTTGATATGTTTGATAATGTAATAACTGAACTTCGATATGCAGGCAACATGCAGGCTCTTCATTCCAACTCATGTACAACTTATGATAAATTCTCTTGCACCCAAGGCACTAGTCTTATCAGTGATCTGACTTCAGACTGAAAGTTATTTCACGCTACCTAGTTTTGCTACTAGCTCTCGATAACCACATCTACATTGTTACAACTAATTTTAAATCACGCCCTCAAAATCATAACTACTCTAAAGCATCTTCATCCAAGATAGCTAATACATGATTAAAACAAAATGATAACTTCCTTGATGATTCGCCATTTTCTCACTAATATGTGGATGTTAGCGAGCTCAATATGCTAGAAGTTGCAAAAAATCAATGGGTGGAGCTGATATTGATCTGGTCTACCAACACAAATTCAACGAAGTTCTTGAAAACCAAAATCGCAACCATATAATGATTAACTTCTACTACATTACACTAAAATACTTGATTATCCTAAAAAAATCTAACATTTCCCAAATCCAATCTGATAGGCAGAACAATATTCAAGCTAATATTTATTTATATGAGCAAAAACTAACAGCAATTCGCCAATTCCTGTCAATTTAACTTGAACAAGTTTCTCATATACGGGAAAATTTGGGAAATTACCTGAGTACCCCATTGTCCTTTAACGCAAGAATCAGGCGAAATCTTCCCATCACGGCCATACAACAAGTGTTTTAACCCATCAATTTCATTCTCATCATACACATAAATCTTCAGGGAAAGATGGGTCCCATACCCACGTTGTGGCCAAAAGATGGACCCACCGGAATCGGAGAACCGTACGACGTCGTTCTTGGATCTGTATTGTCCAGAAGTAGGGGTTGAGAAGGAAGAGGAATTGAGTGACTGGTCGAAGATTCTGGTGACGAAGAAAGTGATGATGACGAGAGCTAGAGCGCCGATCTGGTGGGTGCGAGTGCATGGGGTTACAGTCTGGTGTGAAGCGAAAGGTCTGGTCTTGCTGCTGTGTATGCTTGCCATTGTTGTTGTTGCTGCTGAGCAGAACAGAGCAGTGAGGTGAGTGTTAAGTGTAAACCCAATGAAGAAGAAGATGGAAATGGAAATTGATAGTGCATTTTATATTACTTTTAGTAGTTTTAAATAATTATATAAAATAATTATTATTAAATTAAAGTTTTAAAATATCAATAACTATGATTAATTAGAATATTATATATATATAAAAATTAGTTTTTCTTCAAAATTATAACGACCGGGTTCCGTCGTTATAGAAAAGCCAACGGAAAAAAAATTTGGGTCGAAAAAACTTTTTCATAGTATTTGGATTTTCCCAACCTTGTCCAGATTTGGATGAAATTGGAGTCTTTAAGGTGTAGGGAAATCTGGTAACAATCGAGTGGTTTATTTATAATTCTGGTTACATGAGTGGCTAGATAAGTCGTTAAGGAATTCGTACGACTTTACAGAATTGAATTCGGGCGAGTAGAACTCCCGAAATCGATCTTAGCGTAAAGGGTATTTTCTGAGAGTCTTGGGTTAGAGGTGTGTTGTGAAATGGGAATTTTGGAATTATTAAAATAGCTCACTGTTTCGTACAAGCCGCTATAGCACTGGATTTTGTCGCTCTGGCAGGCCAGACGCTACTTAAAGTCGTAAATAAACCCCTAAACGACTTTATTCTGCATTTTTTTATTTTTAGAGCTAAGGAACGAACCCCAGACGACTCCTAACAGTTTTCCATCATTCTTGAGGCTAAAGGTAAGTTTTTCACTCCCCGAATCCATTTTTCGATCCGTAGAACGTACTAGAATGGGTAATTATCGAGTGGGGGAGGGGTTTTGATCTAGATTTTATGATGGAAACAACCCTATTTTGGATACTTCGGATCATGGGTATGATCTAGGGCTGTTGGAATTGTTAGTAATCCGGGTAATTAGTGATTGTTTATTGATTTCCCCGGTATTATATTGATTGTTTGTAGACCAAGACAAACGGAACGAATTCGGAAAGGGAAGGATCAAGTTTCTTAGGGTTTCAAGCTTGTTTCGAGGTATGTGATGGTTGTGATTTTTATGATTGTGTGATGTATGTTTGTTCTTGCTTCATTATGATATATGTATGTATATGAATGTTGCATTATTGATCACACTTGTTGTGAATGAGAGAGATGAATGATGGTTGCCATAAAATCATGACTTAATTGTATGATCTTGAGGATATACTTGTGATTGTGGTGTGTTAAATGGATCGGTTGCCACGTTTTGGCATAATTATGGGATTGATTGCCAAGTTCCGACATAATCATTGGATCGGGTACCACGTTTCGATATGCTAACTGTTTGGATTTGGGTTCCATGAGAGAATCAATGATTTGATATAATTGTGCATCTTGAGAAATGTGAAGTTGTTCGTTGTTAGTAAATGTTGATAATATTGTATATGTTCGTTATATGCATGTGATTATATTGTTGTGATGACTTATGTATGTTGCACTTAGTGGGATAGTCGTGTGATCCTACCAGAGTACCAGGTGTACACTGTGGTTGTGTACTGATAATGCACTTGCTCTTATTTTTGTTGAGTACAGGGCATCTTCAAGCGGCTACTGACAGACCTCGCTTAGGAGATCAGTGATCGTCGTTCGAATTCAAAGGTGAGCCAATTCTTTCGGGCTGCCATCCTCTCGTCTATGTCCACATTTCGGACTTAGACAGTTTTATTAGTTATTAGTACATTAGTTGGGGTTGTATCCCTTCTTGTTTAGACATGGTTCATTGTTAAATGTTTTGGTACATTGACTTTCAAGTTCTAGGCATTACTTCCGCATTGTTAGTTTATTATTGTTAGAGTTTATGGGAACTTTATTTCTTTCCTTAGTATTTAACTTGTTTCGTATGCTTAAATGCTTAGTTTTTGGTTTAGTTGCTTGGTTTGGGTTGTAGTAGTGGTTCTCCCACCAGAGAGTTAGTGTGGGTGCCAATCACGACGGTCTTGGTCGTGAAAAAGTTGGTATCAGAGCCTAGGTTCGTGGATCTCGATGTACCAAAACGAGTCTAGTAGAGTCTTGCAGAATGATACGGGGACGCCTTTACTTTTCTTCGAGAGGCTATAGGACTTTAGGAAATCTTTATGTTTTCTTTTGTCTCCTTTCGTGCTATGACTTGATTCCAAATGGTATGTGGCGATTCAAATTGGTATCTAACCTCCTTCACTCTTCTGTCTGCAAATGGTTAATACTAGATAGAACGGCGTCAGGCCCGTAGCTCCCGTCAATGCTCCAGCTGAGGAATCTGCAGCCAGAGGTCGCGGTCGAGGCAGGGGTAGATGAAGATCTAGAAGTAGAGGCCGTGGAAGAGTAGCGCCTGCTGGGAATGGAGCTCCTGTTGAGAATGCTCATGTGAATGAGAACCCTCATGTGCATCATGAAGAGATTGAAGAGGAGAATGTTGTTATTGAGAATGTTAAAGATGTAGGACAAGAGAAAGATGTTGTAACGACTCGGAAAATGATAGAGTGAAACTAGAGCCTCATATATGAGTTTAGAGTCGAGAACTTAATGAAATGATGAGAAATGGCTTTTGAAGTGTAATTTAAAGAGATTTGAGGTCAAACGTCAAGAAATGATCGTGACATCTTGAAACTTGTTTAGCTACTTATAAAAAGATTCGTTTCGTTTTTCGAAAATCCGACTTCATATTCTTGTTTAGGGGGTCAAATTGAGTGGGAAATGGGTCTAACCCAAATTTTAGAGCAACCGTATCAAAATCCGAAATTTCCAAGTGAAGCCTTTTCGAGGGTCTACTTTGGAGGGTCATATATCCTAGAAAACAAATTATTTGGGTGGCCAATAATATATCCATGGAAAGCCCTTTGAGTTAGCTACCTAACGCACTTCGTTTCACCTCATTCGGAGTTCGGACGAAGAAGTTATGCCCATTTTCGTAAAACCTGTCCGGCAGAAAA